ATTGTGTTCCAGAACTTAGTCAGTCTGTATTCGGAAGTCCCACAGTAGTTTTGCATGCTCATTTTTGACCACTTTTTCAGACTTATGATCCCACCAGTTCTTTGCTACAGGCAGATGGTAGTTGTGACACAAGTTCCAGTGGACCATCTGAGCAACTCTGTTGTGACGTTGTTTGTAGCCAGTCTGAGCTATTGTCTTGCAACAGCTCAGTATATGATCAGTGGTTTCATCCGCTTCTTTGCAGAGTCTGCATTTGGGGTCATCATCAGATTTTTCTGTTCTGCCTTTGATTACATTCGTTCTGATGGCTTGTTCTTGGGCTGCAAGAATTTATTATTATTATTATTATTATTATTATTATTATTATTATTATTATTATTATTATTATTATTATTATTATTATTTTATTATTATTATTATTAAACAAAAAACAACAGTGTACATAGCAAACGAGATGACTATGCTGGGTTTCGTATCACAAATCACTAATCGAACACTTCCCAAGTGTTTAGGACTGCGTGATATATTGGCGGATTATGCGAGCAGATCCCAGTAAGGTGGCCTTCTGCAGCTGACCGATGGTGATCTTGTCAGCGCCAATTGTTTTTAGGCACAGCACCAATGTGCCAAGTACCACTGGAATCACCTGAACTGGTTGATGCCAGAGTCTCTGCAGTTCGATTCTCAAGTCCTGATATCTGGTGACTTTTTCAAGTTGTTTCTCGTCGATTGTGCTATCACCAGGTATGGCAATGTCGATGATCCACATTTTTTTCTTCTCCACAATCGTGATATCCAGGGTATTGTGTTCCAGAACTTTGTCAGTCTGTATTCGGAAGTCCCACAGTAGTTTTGCATGCTCATATTCGACCACTTTTTCAGACTTATGATCCCACCAGTCCTTTGCTACTGGCAGATGGTAGTTGAGACACAAGTTCCAATGGACCATCTCAGCGACTGTGTTGTGATGTTGTTTGTAGCCAGTCTGAGTGATTGTCTTGCAACAGCTCAGATGGTTTTGTACACTTCTTTGCAGAGTCTGCATTTGGGGTCATCATCAGATTTTTCTATTCTGGCTTTGATTGCAATATTATTATTATTGTTGTTGTTGTTGTTGTTGTTGCTGTTCACACAGTCAGCCAGATGTTCAGACTGGGTTTGGCATTTTTGTCTACCTATTGAGTCCTTACCAAGGACCTGGGATAGGCAAATCTGGATGTTTGATGGTGTTACAGATATCGCCGCAAGATGGAAGCTGTTCCAAGTAAAGCTGCCTTCTGCAGTTGACAAATTTGTCAATGCCTATGGTGTTCAAGTGGTGCTTCAGTTGTTTTGGGACTGCACCCAAGGCACCTATTATTATTGGTACTACCCTTGCTTGCCTTTGCCATAATCGTTCTATTTGTAGGTCTTTGTATTTTGTTATCTTCTCCAGTTCTTTCTCTTCTCTTCTGCTGCCACATCCACTATCCAGACTTTTTTGTCTTTCTTATGGACAACTGTTACGTCTGGGGTGTTATGTGTCAGGTGCCTGTCTTTCTGGATTTTGAAGTCCCAAAGCAATTTAACTTTTTCATTTTCTATGACTTTTTCTATTTTATGGTCCCACTAGTTCTTGCTTACAGGCAAATGATATTTCTTGCAGATCTTCCAATGTACCATTGTTGCTACTTTATCATGCCACTGCTTGTAGTCAGTTTGTGCAATCTTCTTGCAGTAGCCTACCAGGTGGTCCACTGTTTCTTCAGCTTCTTTGCATAGGCAGCACTTACCGTCTGTTCCTGTCTTTTCAATTCTGGCTTTGTATACATTTGTCCTAAGGCTTGGTCTTGCATAGCCAGAATTAATCCCTCAGTTTCTTTCTTTAACTGTCCTGCTCTTAGCCATTCCAGGTCTTGTTATTATCTGCTTTCCCTGCTATTTTTTTTAATGTAATAGCCATGTAGTGCTTTGTCTTCCCATGCCTCCATTCTGTTCTTCATTTGGTCTTTCTTGTAGGCCAGTTTGGTCTCTCTGATAGTCAGCAAGCCTTCCTGGCGTATTAACTTCAGTGCTTCTTCTTCATTGTCCTTCAGATATTCTTCCAAAGCCCTTTTTTCTTCTTCAACTATCTGATGTACTCCCAACATTCCACGCCCACCTATTTGCCTTGGTAGGTAGAGTCTGTCAATGTTGCTGTGAGGATGAAAGGCATGATTCATTGTCATTATTTTTCTGGTCTTCCTAGCCATTGCTTTTAATTCTGTTTGAGTCCAGTTCACTATTCCAGCTGTGTATCTAATGACTGGTATTGCCCAGGTGTTGATTGCCTTGATGGTATTTTCTCCATTGAGTTTGGACTTTAAGATCTTTTTCACTCTCTTGATGTATTCACCTCTAATTTTTTTCTTGACTTCAGTGTACTTGATATTGTCAGCTTGAAAGCGGCCTCGGGGCGAGCGCGCACACACACTCCCCTCGCCGCGAGGCCGCTTCTACCAGCCGATCGAAGTGGCTGTTGACTGCACTTGGGGAGCTTTCATCACCCGAAAGAGACTGCCTAAAGGTGAGGGGACATGGGCAGCCATGCCACGCCCTGAAGCGGCTGGGGACTCTGCCTTCAACGGAGCTTTCATCTGCCGATAGAAGCGGCCTCGCGGTGAGGGGAGTGTGTTTGTGCGCTCGCCCCGAGGCCACTTCTACTGGCCAATCGAAGTGGCTGTTGACTGCACTTGGGGAGCTTCCATCGCCCGAAAGAGACTGCCTAAAGGTGAGGGGACACGGGCAGCCATGCCACGCCCTGAAGCGGCTGGGGACTCTGCCTTCAGGGAGCTTCTATCGGCTATCAGGGTATTCTAGCCTAGGCTACCTGCAGGGCACTCCTAAAGGCAAGTTTTCTCCCCATCTCCCCCACCCTTCCCCCCCATTTCTCTTCACCTCGTGTAGTTCTAATGAACGATGTGAGAAATGGCAGGGAAATGCATGGTTGTAATAGGCCTAAATTTTGGAGGCGGGGCTTAATTTCACCTCATGCCTAGAAATCATGCTGGGCCTTCCTATTGGTGGAGGCCGTATTGTTGGAGAAACACGGTACTTTAGGAAACCTTTTGTAATATGCAGATAAATAATTGCTAAGTGATTAAAATATAAATAATACTGTGGAGTTCCTAACTCCTAAAGAATTTCTGTAGTATTAAAATACAGAAAATGCAGAAATTAAAATAAATTAAAATTAAAACGATATTTTATTCTGAAGGGGGAAAGTACTCATTATGAAATTAATATATTATAACATTACATTACATGTTACATAGGTGGGAAGAATGATGAATTGTACATCACTACATTGCAGTGCAAATGTGACCCTTTTAAATTTGCATTATGCATATGCTGCAGTTTTTCTTTTGTCTGTTTCTTTTTTGGGTAGTTTAATGATTATGTACAACAACAATTGTTCCCAAATCCCAGATGTTAGCTGTATGTTATCTCTCACCATAAAGAATATGCTTTTCCCTTGTTTTAATATGTTTTCTTTATTCAATTGCAAATCATTGAAATATGGCTGAAGAAATGGACCCAGTTCCTGACAGGAGCTACTAGGCAAGTCATATATACAAGATATTTTGAGTAGAGTGATCTCTCTGTCCATTTCTATGTGTTTAATAGCTTCTGCAGTTAGTATTACATTCAAATCCAGGGAGTAACAAGTTTTTGAGAGCTAGCCTCACACAGAATGCAACATTAAAAAAAAAAAAAATTCAGTGGTGATCTTTCACAAAAGTTGTGATATTTCCACCTGTCTTCTATGTTTGTTTCAGGCAAGGCTCTCTTCTTTTTTTTAACTCCTGTCTTCTTTTCATAAAATTATGTAGGGTTAAATAGGCTTGCACTACAGCTAGTTTTAACTTCCAACCTCTTGTTTAATGGCTGTTTGAAGACCATTACAACAGCAATAAAAATGTAACTTGGAATCATTTTCACACAACTGTTGCAGCATCCCCCATGGCCAATATTCAGATGCTTAGCAGTGACCTGTATTTATGACAGTTGTAGTGTCCTGGAGTCATGTGATCAGCTTTTGTGACCCGCTGACAAGCAAAGGGGAAGTCAGATCCACTTAACAACCATTTAAAATTGCAGTGATTTACCTAACAACAGAGGCAAGGAAGATCATAAAATGGCGAGGGGGGGAGAATCACTTGACAACTGACTTGCTTAGCAACAGAAAATTTGAGCTCAGTTGTGGTCATAAGTCAAGGACTACTTGTATTCTACATGCAATGATTTGTTTTCAGTGATCAAAATGAAAATTTAAATAGAAAAGTTAATGGCAGAAGTACTATATTTATATTTTGACTCTAGAAACCTTTCTTACTAAAAATGTGAAAGAGTAAAGTTGCTTTGGTCAGTATTAACAGATACGACCTGTAGTCACTCCATATAGGTAAGATATTTTTTCCTCTGAAGCAAAAAAAAAATCTGACACATCTTCACCTTACTGCCAGTACTTCAGGCCCCTTCTTTGTCAATGTTCTGGGTGTCATTCAGGTACTTTTACTTATTCAGATACTTTTACTTTATTCTTCTGCAACAAGATTTTGAAAGGCATTTATCAATCAAAGTTAACATACAAACGAGAATGTCAAAAGAAATCAGAACAGCAATACCTCTTTGGGAGATTCATTTACTATTATGTTATGTCCAAGAATCTTATCTTTAAAATGTCTCAGAATAACATCTTGTTAAAAATTATTCTCAGATCATCTTAATCTCACATTATTGGCAAAATTGTTATTCAGAGGGACATCAAGTAGACCAAGAACTACTAGGCACATTTATATATAAAAAACATCCTGTATTGAAAGGGTGTCAGCAAGATACAGTAAACAAATCAAGATGGCAGCCATGATGGGGTGATTGAAACTCCTCTTGGAGTTTATGTGTGTCACCCCATCACAGCTACCATCTTAACTTTTTTGACCACCCCTGCAGATACCCCTGCCATATTGTAAATCATTAAGTTAAACATCATAGCTATTTTTTCCTGATTCTGGAAAAGTGCTTTCATAAACAGATGTGAGTGATGCATTTAGATCTTGAGGTTTGTTCTTTGGTGTGATAAAGCTGAGCAGATCAACAGCTGTGGCCACACCAAATACCATCTGTTTCATCAAGGAGGACCCCTTTGCATTGTCTGAAAAAGAAAGAGGAATGTATTTCCAAATAAGAATGAAAGAAAGCAGTCAATGGTATACTCTTAATTTAAGACTAACTTCTGACTTAAAACATACAGATGAACATGTCTCATTTATTCTATGTAGTCCCTCAAACCTCACCCTCTTTCCTGGCAGATGGGGAGGGGAGGAAGAAGCCTGGAGCTTATCATATCTTTTTGTGCATCAAGGAACACAAAATGTTTGGAATGGAAGGTTCAATTTCTTCCCTCATCTCCAGATCATTGACCATTAGGGACAGACTTTGCTCTTAAAGTGACCATTACAACAATTATCATAGGGCTAAATATCTGGGCTGTGAAAATCCAGATGACTCTCCTCCCCTCCCCCACAAAAGCATTAAACCTGTGCACATAAAGAGTCCACATAAGACAAGACAGGGACTTCAGAAAGCACAGGTCAATAGGCAGAGGAAAGCCAGGAGTCTTTCTTGCAATCCAAAGTAACAATGAAGGGCTATTCTAGAATCTGAGTGCATGTCTGAAGAGTGAATGCTTGCATAGCATAAAAAGGCCATTTGATACCAAGGAGATCCCATATTTGACTATATTGTTTGCCACATCAGCAGTGAAATATGCTAGATCATACTCATAGCCCAAAGTGTGTTAAGAGAAGAAAGAAAACAATAATTCAAGCATGAAGGAGCTAAAGACAATCTTAAAGTGCCTCAGATATGGCCTGGGGGTGATACAAGGTCAACATCATAAAGACACATCATATAAAAATGGTGACTGGGGCATGTTCATGCTGAAGTGAGGGTGGTATGAGAATGAACCCAGAATACTGACTGAAAATCCTCAATGCCATATAAACGCCCTCCTTTGGTACTTACATTGCTCCACTTCATGCACTATAACAGCAAATTGTTCATTTTCCAGGACATGTGAAAGCTTTCCCAGGGTATCATTCAGATTAATCTGTGCATCCCAAAATAATCAAGTGAATCAAATGGTTAGTAGGAGCCCAAGATCAAGTTCACCATTCCAAATTTCTCCCCCATATTGTTCTGTTATAAACTAAATCTTACATAGGGAATCTGTGCTTATTCAGAGTCATTTTGCTGCAGTAGCAACACCTAATATTTTCCTAGTTTCCCGAGAAAGGAGGGAAATGGTGCAAATAGGATTACGGCATGGAGAACCCAATTTATATGAAGCTCTGGTGATGAAATTCTAAAAACCAAGGGAACATCGTATCTTGAAATCTAATTTACATCCTACATACTCCTAAGTGTGTTCTCTGTGTTCCTAAACTCAGGTACTTCAACATGCTTACTCAACCAGGCTTTATACTTTAGAGTTTTCTTTCTTTCTTCATAACTATGTATTTTTTGCTTGCTCTTTTTGTGTTCAGTTAATAAAAGCATTTTTAAAACTGTGTGTACTGTACTCTATATTCATAATTCTTTCATGTCACTATCAACTAACTTAAAAATCCATCAAGGAATAACATGTGTGAAAGTCTTTTTTTTTTTTTTTTGCATCCAGAGAATACATTATTTTGAGAAAGCTCAAGAAAAGAGCTGTATCTTTGTCTTCCTACTGATATGTGAGAAGTGCCTTTATTTAATAGGTGGGACACCCCCTTCCTTTCCCCTTGGCCTTGCCTTCACTTGAAATTTACAGTAATATTTTGTAATTATGGTTCACTCTTAAGTTAATAATACTTGAACACCAAAACCATTTTTTTTCTGTAAAGTGATAGAATTTAACAACTACAGGTACAAACATCTGCATCATCACCTATTTTAAAAATGGTGAGTTCAGGTAACCTGCTGCAGTATATAAACCAGAGGTGTGGCTTGAACATGTGAGAAGAAAGAGCTTATGACCCTTTCTTTAGTTAATAGACTACTGGGATATACTGGCCAAGATATACATCAGACATTGATCAGTCACCAACCTGACTAGCATACAAATCCTGAGGTTAATGCATTTGGTAAGCAAGACACCATAAACACAAGATGAAGGCCACAAACTGACTCAATTTTTTGCAAGGACTTAGTGATATATCACATTACTTATGAGGTAAAGCCCTTTCTCTCACATAACCTCTTTGGCTTTCAAACTGTATCTATAATTTCTGCCTCTTCCTTGTCCTGTTCATTAGACACTTTTATGGATGATGCAATCATTGATGCGTTATGAATTTTTCAACGACGTAAAGATAAATACCTTTGAAAATTGTTGATAAGTAACTTTTATAATTGGGTCCGAGAACTGTGTTACTCCTGCCAGGATTGAGGAGAGGATGTTGGTAATAGTTACAATTCCCAAGATGACGCTTCAAGAAAACAAACATTTTTTTTACATTCAGACATGGAAGGAGACAAAGTGGAATCTTACAAAATTCTCCATGCACAGGGACGGAGTCCATATTGAGTCTAGCATTCTTAGTTTAAGGATCCATTTAAGGATCCTCTTAATTAAGGGAATAATGGACAACCCTTTACTGCTTTAGGCATAAAATATTATGAAATATTATCTTGAAGGGAAGTGACTGCTAAAACAAGGCAGAAGTGGATAACTCCTAGCCCTCAGTTGTAAACCTCCCCCCATCCAAAACATTGTGCTATTGGCATTTGGTGCTACTTTTCTTTTACCTTTGCTTCCCCAGAAGTTGTTAAACGATTACACTGAGCTTCTTCAGGATGTAATGGTTATTTTGCTCCATAAAGTTCTAAAAGAACTTTTAAAATGGACCCTTGGAAAAATGAAGGATCACCCCTCCCAAAATCAGTTGTCCATGCCCACCCTAAAAAGAAAGCTACCCTGATTCAGCAACAACTGGTGCTTGATTGCATGACTTTTCTTGCAGGATTTCAACTGCTTTTTGACAGTTCACATCTGAGAGAAGAATCAGAGGAGCAGCAAGATTTAGCTTCTGGACTTTAATACTCCACCACCTGTCAGAGGAAAAAAATAGTATATATTGTTACTGCTCTGCAGTCAGAATCTGTTCTGGTTTTCCTTGATGATTGTTCTATGTACACAGCTTAAATGAAAGAAGACTGAGATAGATATAAGGGGTTTATTTAATTCATTTAGAAAAGAGATGAAAGATTTGTTCTTAGCATGCCATTTAATTCCTGTTTTTCTTTTCAAAGTGTGCCTCTTTATAAGAAGTAATATAAAACATTCAGCATTGTAACTATTGTTAATTAAAACACATATATAAACCCACATAGTTTACTACAAATATACAAGGCAAGTCACACACCAAAACCAGGAATCGCAATGCAAATAGTAGAAGATCACAATTATCCATGTAGCCTAGATGCCACTTTTTCTAAATAATGGCAACAAGTTTCATAAACAATGCCCAAACTGGAAGGAGTCCTCATAAATTAACTGTATTTAACTGATTCCCATTCTTAGAAGCATTACAGGTACCAAAAAGAAATTTGGAAGGGGACATTTAAGACATCAAATCTGCTCTGTGCAAATACATATATTAAAGTATATTTGACAGGCTGCTGTCTAGCCTCTCTGTAAAAACATCCCATGAAGGAATGCTTAGCACCTCTCTGTGTAACTGGTTTCAATAGAGAAGGGAACTTTTAAAAATACAACACTCAGTTGAAATATCCCTATCTGATTTCTTCCTTTTCAGTTTAATTTTTCTCTAAGGATTATATTTAATGGAGTCATTCTGCTGGTAGATGCCATTTCCTTATTGGCACAGAATGAGCATGAAGAACTGGGAAGGTCAATCGGATTTCCACTGTGTTGCGAATAAAAGCCATTTCATACAGCCCTATATTGGATGATGGTGGTGGGAAAACAGGTGAAGTATCAAAACAGGTCAAGTACAGGTCATCTTACCAAGGATAATGTTCCTGAACATCTTTTAGAAATCCATTCTGGGCCATCCATTTGTCATTCAAAAACTTAGACCTGGAAACAATGGGGAAAAATGAAGGCATTGTGTTAAATTTTGAGGTCCTAATTCAGGAGATCAAAACCGGAACCAGGCATCATAATCTAAGCCTTGCTCCTTTCGTACATGTGTGTGATGTCAACACTGCTACCAAGGGGCATCAGCTTGCATTTAACACCACATTTGTTATCTTGATGCTTCCTTGCTGATACTGCTGCATCTATTACTACATTTTAAATCTTTAAACTACAATAATATTTAAAGTTGGGTTACAACCAGCAAATTAGTTATTGATGGATTGAGGGAGGGAACAAGATATAATGCACTTTTGGAGGCAACTGTGGAATGGATTTATTCAGAAGTTGGTGATACAGTTGAAAACTTGTATAAAACAAAAGGTGGCCTTACTGTTAAGCAACTTTAACTTTGATATTGTAAGCCGCCCAGGGTTACCCTGTGGTAAGATGGACAGCCGATAGAGATAGATAGATAGATAGATAGATAGATAGATAGATAGATAGATAGATGTAAATAAATAAATAAATAAAGATTCAGTGGTACATGACAAACTACTCCTAAAACTAAAATCTTATGGTATCTCTGGACAACTGCATAACTGGATAGAAGCATTCCTGTCAAACAGACAACAAATGGTCAAAATTGGGAGCGTCCTATCAAATTCTGTACCTGTCAACAGTGGTGTCCCCCAAGGCAGTGTTCTAGGACCAACTCTCTTCATACTCTACATAAATGGCTTCTGTGATCATATTAAGAGCAACTGCGTTCTCTTTGCTGACGATGTAAAGCTGTTCAATACCACAGACAATACTGCTACCCTTCACAAAGATCTTGACTATGTATCAGAATGGTCAAACAAATGGCAACTTCAAATATCAACAAATAAATAAATACATATTGGCAAAAAAATCAGAAAATAAAATACAAGCTGAATAGTCAAGACCTTGTTGATGATCCAAGCTCTGTAAAGGACCTTGGAAAACTCATCTCTAATGATCTAAGTGCTAGAGCCCACTGTAACTACATAGCCAAAAGAGCATTAAGAGTTGTTAACCTAATCCTACATAGCTTTTTCTCTGATATTATCACACTACTAACCAGAGCATACAAAACATTTGCTAGACCTATACTTGAATACAGCTCATCAGTCTGGAACCCACATTATGTATCTGATATTAGCACAGTTGAGAAAGTCCAGAAATATTTCACAAGAAGAGTTCTCCACTCCTCTACTCGTTGTAGAATACTTATGCTACCAGACTTGAAATTCTAGACCTAGAAAACTTTGAATTATGCCGTCTTCAGTCTGATCTAAGTATGGTATATAAAATCATACATTGCAATGACTTACCTGTCAATGAATACTTCAGCTTAAACCATAACAACACAAGAGCACACAATAGATACAAACTCAAGGTTAATTGCACCAAACTTGCTTGCAGGAAATACAACTTTAGCAACAGAGTGGTCAATGTCTGGAATACTCTACCTGACTCTGTGGTTTCTTCCCCAAACCCCAAAAACTTTAACCTTAGACTGTCTACTATTGACCTCACCCCTTTCCTAAGAGGTCTGTAAGGGGCGTGCATAAGTGCACCAATGTGGCTACCATCCCTGTCCTATTGTTTCTTTCATTTTTCTTATATGTACCCATTCCATGTATTCATAACTATGTATATACTTATACCTATTATCTTGTAAGCAATTGACAAATCAAAATAAATAAATAAAAATAAATAAATAAATAAACAAATGTAATACATGGAATATAAATATATAAATAAATAGCAACAGTCAGCTAATTAGGGATGTGATGAAAAGGCAGGAGAGAGTTACTTGTTTTATGTATTATTTTATTTTTACTCCTAGCAAGAAAGCACTTTTGGATTTAATGCATTTGACTTGAACAAACACTGTTCTGTGCAGTTAGATCCTTTCATGCTTCTACATACAAAGAGAAAGGGGAAATCCATGTATAGGTCATAGGGCAATTTGAAGAAAGGAAAGAAAGGATTCAATCCCTTTCTCAGAAGTGTGAAGTTTCAGGAAGAGAGTAGAATTCAGCAAGGGGGGGGGATCATTTTAATCAACACGATCCCTTTCATATTCAAATGAATGCGTCATAAAGAAATGAAAAGCCATTCTCTTACATGTAGTTTCTCACAGAGTCAGGTAAGAGGACAACACAGCGTTGACCTTCTTTTAGTTGCTTGGCAGCTTTCACAGCTGCAGACATCGCACTGCCTGCACTGCCTCCTATTATAGAAGCCAGATGATACACACATTACTCAACAAGGAAAAGCAAAAGCAAAACATTGAACATAAAGAGAATAAAGGAATGTGAACTTGGGTCTTGTAAAGGTCTTCCCAAAAATATTACTCTTGATGCTTACTCATTCTGATGCTTGCAGTATTGCAACAAACCAAACGTACTTCTTTTGAAGCCTTTAGAACCTTGTCAAAGCAATCTTGATTTTACATCAGTAAACTGAATTCAATAAATGCAGTCTTGCCTGTTTATCCACGTTTTTACAGCAAAAGGGCATGGTGAGTGGTACTGTACCGAGTAAGGACTTTTTGTATTCTGTCATGATATTTTTATATTAATCTAAGAATCCAGCAATGGAGATTTGTGGATGCTAAATCTCCTTCCTAGCCATAGATATAAGCAGAATGCCTGTCCTAATTTTGTGGGACTCTATTTTGGATTAGATGTGATTCCATTTAAAAACTCCCCTGAATAAGAAAATAATAAACAGTTTTCATATCTAGTAGCTACTTTGATCAAAAGTTTGTAAAAACAATGGGCTTTACTATAAGTTAATAGCAATAGCACTTAGACTTATATACCGCTTCATAGTGCTTTCCAGCCCTCTCTAAGCAGTTTACAGAGTCAGCTTATTGCCCCCAACAATCTGGGTCCTCATTTTACTAACTTCAGAACGATGGAAGACTGAGACAACTTTGAGCTGTTCAGGATTGAACTGCTGGCAGTGAACAGAGTTAGCCTGCAATACTACATTCTAACCACTGTACCATCACAGCTGAGTTAAGTTAAGGAGTTAGCCTGGTCAGAATTCACTCCTTTTTAATATAATGTCTAAATTATTTTTCTTTATGGTACACAGATGGAGAGGACAGACCTCCTGAGATGCAAAACATTTAATATATAAGCCTACTCTATAATATGAAATAAGAGTTCAAGGTTTTAAGAGGCACAACTACATCTTGTATGCCAGTGGCATCCATTTCTAAAGAAAAGGCTTTGTCATGTCACTCATGCCTTTATCACCTCATGGCGGAATTTTTCCATATCATTCAACATGCCAGTAATCATTCAAAAATTTCCACTGATACAACATGCAGCAGTGCTGGACACATTCATTTTGCTCACACACACCATCGCTATTATGGGAGCTGCATTGCCTGGCAGATGAGGTCCAAAGTTTGGGTTGTAACTATAAAATCCTACATGGTTCTGGGCCTGGACATCTCCAATATTGTCTGGTATGCATTGTATCCCACTCTCCCCTGCCACTGCAAATAAATAATTAATACCTACACAATTATTCCATCAATATAAGAACTATGCGATCCTTGTAGTTTTAAATTTTGGTTTACTTTTATGCTTAGGAGCTAAGTAATTTTTCTGATGTTTATCACTGTGCAATACTTACCGCAAAGCAAGCCCTCCTCTTTAATTAATCTACGAGCCATAAGGAAGGATTCTTTATCATTGCTTTTGCACCATTGATCTATTACCTACCAAGAATACAAAGAAAAAAATGGATTTCAGTCATTTTCAATAATGACGGGCAAATCTTTTTCACCCACTTTAGCAACAAATGCATCATAGAGGGTTGCATAGTAAAAGACAAGTGACAGGATGTTTCAGAAGGTGAATTTTCTTTTTTGGGGGGTTACAGCTGACATGAGGTTTTTGCCTGGTTTAGGATTTGGACCATAATTCCTTGACTCTCCCTATATAGTTGGTGCTGGGAAACTCTTGGAATGACAAGATGAATGCATCCCATAGGCATGTGGGACATATACAAAAAGGAGGTCAACCTTATGTTTATTTTATTTCATTTCCACATATTTATAATTTTTTAAATTGTCCATCTGAACAATTTTCTTAATATATACATGTTTCAATTTTGGTCTAAATAAGGCAAGGCATATAATGTATTTTGTATCACCACCACCATCACCACCGTCTTCTTCATCATCATCTTCAAATACATATATATTTTGGTTGAATTAGCAGTTTCCAAAACAATGAATGAATGTACACCCACCCCCATTTAGTGACTACCTCAATTAGTATCCATTTGCAAATATTCCAATAATAACTCTTTTAAAAAAAAAATATTTCCCAATCAATGTGTGCCTCACAACAACATATGCTGGAGTGAAAGTAACACTGGTATAGCTATATGAGAGAACTTTATCCAAATGAGATGGAAGGGAAAAGTGATCTTCACAGAATGTCAGTCACCTGTTTGCTTAGCAACCATTTCGTTTAATGACTTGATCGTTGGAACAGAACAGAGCTAAATAAGGGAAGGAATATATACATATACATATACATATACATATACATATACATATACATATA